CCGCTGCCGCTCACCACAACCCCGCAAGCTCCCCCATAGCCTAGCGTTTAGTTTAGGGTTCGTTGGTACTTTCGTTCTGCCTCTATGAACTCATTGCACTACCTGTGTGTTGTGCTGCGACGCTTGTGTAGCAGATGCTCTAGTGCTCGCCCAGTTTAATCTTTTCGATATAAGCTTGAAAATATGTCCAACGCCGAATTCCATTTTTTGGGGCCCTGTTTCCTAAGTTCTATAAATTCTTAAGCCCAACATTCCAAAAATCCGAATGTTTCGGGCCCAATATTCCAAAATGTTGATTGGCACCTTGGACCTTTGGGCCCGAAAATGTTTGCATTTTGGAATGTTGGGCGAAATTTTGGAATTTTGGAGTTTCGGAATTTCGAGACTCCACAACACTCCAAAGTTCAAACTTCCAAAGGGGTTAAGACTTATTATCTTCACTTTAAAACGGGCAAACATGTATTTCCTTTATTGTTGAATCGCCAAAACATCGTCCTCTGTACGCTTTGATAGGAAAACCTTTATTTCTGTTGCTGGTTCAAGAAAAACTTTCATGTCTTCCATCGTTCATTAGGAAGACCTGCTTCCTCCTGTTCTGCTTATTCACGAGGAAAAACTCATACAACCTCCAAGACTTTGATAGAAAGACCTCTGTTTCCTCCTATCTGTTCATAGGAAAACCCCTACTCTCCTACAAAGGAAAACCTCTAATTCGTTTCTCTATATTTTATTTATACAGTCGGTGCGGGCTTCGGGACTGGATTCGTCCTCTGCGCTGCATTGCGCCGCTTTGCGCCGCTTTGCGCCGCTTTGCGCCGCTGTGCGCTGGCGGCACTGTACGGCGCTGATTGCACCGAATTGCGCCACAATGCGCTGAATGCGCTGCACTGCGTTGAGCTGCATTGCGATGAAGTGCGCTGAATACGCTGATTTGCGTCGAATGCGCTGCACGGCGCTGAGTTGCGCTGAATTGTGCAGTGTTGCGCTGAATTGCCGCGTATATTACCGGGTTTATGGGGTCGTCGATTCGCAGCATGCTTGCTGTGTGTTGAACACCGTCTGAATATTTTCAGAAGAAAGCTTCCATTTCCTCTGTAGGTCAATAGGAAGACCTGTATTTTAATGGGGGACCTCTATTTCCTCCATATTTTAAGAGGAAACCCTATGGCACATGATCTCTTGTTTGTTACGAGTAAGATGTTTTTGAGTGACATGCTGTGGAAAACGTGGGGTGCGTGGGGGATGATGGGGGATGGAGGGGGTGTAGCAACAACTATTTCAGTCGACATGTGTGTATTCCTGGCTTTCCTCCGTGACCATTGTTCTTAAGCTGTCATCTGATTCCAGAGACCGAGAACAAAAAACAAAAATGCACAATAAACACTAATGATATACAACAAGTAGCCACCTGCTGGCCACGCAAAGAAGGTCCAAATTGTCAATCCCACACGTGTCTCGCGAGAGAGCCAAATGTCGAACGTAAAGCACATTAGCTTAACTAGACCATTGTATTCCCAAAGGCCCCAAACCCTAAACCCAACGCAGGCAAACAGGAATGCCAACAGCCTGGAGGCTCGAACGCAGTCCGATGAGAGACAGCTGCGGCACCGGCTTGGCTGGCGACCTGGCGCAGGGTTTAACGAGTGTAGATGTGTTTAGGGTTCAGGCGGCATATCTTTGATTACCCACAATTTACGCGCCATGTCGCACCAAACGCCCGCGCGCACCCTCCCCAGTCATCTCCCGGTGGTGGCACGGTGGCATGCGGGCCTTTTGGGGCCCAACATCAGGCGAGGCCGGAAGGAAAGGCAGAGTTCACTAAGAAAGCCTCAACGCCTCATTTCTTCGTGGACAAGTCAACAACTGACACCCGAACGCTACATCTCGCACGCTCACACGGCACTGGCCGCCGATGTCAGATGATGTCGGGCTGTTTGTTGGAAGCCACGACATCAAGCCCTTAAATATCCTTCCAGACCCTTCGAGCTTTCTGGTTTGCAAACCGCTTCCCGGCCTGGCCAAAGGTGATCTCATCTCCGGTGCCTCGCCCTGTAAACGAGATGCCAAGAAATCAGAGAACAATGCTGCTGAAGTTGGACCGACGCAGAGCTTTTCCCACCCTCAAGCGAGTCTGCTCTCTCCAAAGCAAAAAGGCTTGGAAGCAAGCTTCCCGCAACTGCCTCGTGCGAGCCGTGTGCTGGATCTTTGCAGCTTTGTGCGCAGATCTCTGTAGATCTCTGCAGGTCTCAGCGGTGTTGTGAGCCTTGTGCTCGTTGTCGACTCAAGCTTCTTTGCGTGAGGCTTGGGCTTCGCACGATGAGGGCCATCTGGGCACTCTGATACTGTGTCGTTTCATGTCGTCTCACGGCAGCTGGAGCACGGAACAGGCACTGATGAAAGGCACCGCGACCACTCTCAGCGATGTGCAGGAGCCCTCAAGACCATCCTTCAGCTTGTCGGGTGCATCAGTCTCGTCCATCAAGCCATACCTTTTCTGCAACGTCATCTCTTGGCAGAACGGAACAATGTACATTAACTTTTGAATCAAAAAGTGGCATGTGAGAAGGTGTCAAGTACCGTGCAAATCAAAAGACACCTTAGCTCTCAGAGTCAGGCATGGCCACAGTGGTCGCAACTGCCCCGAAGCGACATTTGGCTCCAGCCGTCGTCCTTGCATGCGAAAGAGGGATTGTGGACCGAGGTATTCCTAGCTTCGGGCTGGAGCAGATACGAGTGACACAGCTTCTGTACAATCTACCCAGTGTCCTGCGAGTTTCCAGCTGTGTGCGTCATCACCCCTGCACAAGCAAGATCCCAACGGCCAACAAATGTGAGCACTTCTCTGTCATGAGGCCATACTTGAAGTTACGAAAAAGTGATACAGTAAATAGATGCATGAATCAAGCACCAAGGGGAAACAGCCGAATGCTAAGGGAGGAAGCTAAAGCATTGGCATCCTTCCAGCACGTCTTCAAACTGTTTCTGGGCCACTTCTGCAGCATAGAATACGCAGCGAACATCAACAAATGCCTCGCGCATCGTCTGACCCACAATTTGGGCAGCGCACAGAAAATGTGCTTTGATCCTGCACGACCTCGGATCATCAAAGGAATCTTGCTGCTTGGCTGGCTCCTCACCTTGAATGGCTCTTTATAGTTATGGTGTACTGCCTCTTCAGTAGTACAGTCACAGCCTTTGTATTGCAGGCATAGCTTTGTCGAGAAATATGCAACGTCGTCTACAATCTCCACAAGAGCGCTTCACATGTTGAGTCTCTCAGTAAAGGCAAACGGCCCACCTCCGCCAGTGAGACCACACAGGTCAGGCCGATGCTTCAGAGGCGTTTTACCGAACGGGAGAAAGTACGTGGCTCTGCTTAGGCCTACGCACCAACGATCGGGAGTGTGAGCGGAAACGGATGGCGTCCTGCGTTGGAATCTAGAAAAATCTAATTCGTGCTAGACGGACAACAGCTTGGTTGTGGTATGTTGTGGTTCTTGCTCATTTGCAACGCTGTGTTTCATCAAAAAACTACTTGTTTGTAACTGTTTGCTTCAAAACCCTCGGGTAGTAAAATGTTTGCGAGTTGTAGCTGTTTTGAGGATTTGTTATACGTCTTCTCACCATGTCACCGTTTAGGGCTCAGGGCTTGCCACCCAACATCTCCTTGCAGGGTTTAAGAGCTGGCCATCCAGCATCTCCTTCTGCCACCTTTCAAGAACAGCCTCCTTTGAGGCTTGGGGCTCTCCATCCAACATCCCCGTTGGAGTTTTAGGGCTTGCCACCCTACAGGGTTTAGGACTTGCCGCCCGACCTGTCTTATCTCCATGCCGCCTGTTTGTTGCCAGCCTGTCTTGTTGTCTTGTCACCATGCCACCGTTTAAGGCTTTGGGTTAGCCACCCGGCATCTCCTTCCAAGGGCTTAGGGCTTGTCACCCAACATGTCCCTTTTAATGCTTAGGGCTTGCCACCCAACACATCCTTTTAGTTTATGGCTTATTTCCCGACATCCCCTTTTGGTGTTGAGGGTTTGCCACCCGACATCCCTTTTAAAGCTTAGGGCTTGCCACCTGACCTGTCTTATCACCCAGCTGTAGGGTTTAGGGATTGGCGCATAGCATCAACTAGACCCGTTTTCGGGCTGAGGGCTTTGCCACCCAACATTTCCCCTTCAGGGCTTTCGCGTTTGCCACCCAACATTTCCATTTCGGCTTCGGGTTTGCCACAGAGAGTCTAAGGTGTCGTTTCCGAGGTTTCCGAGGACCTGTGGTTTGCCGCATCCTTTTCGGCTTCTGGCCTTCCCAGCTAACATGAGCCCTGCAGGCTTCCCAGCCAATTCCATCTTCTTTTAGGGCTTGCACGCAGCATCGTAGCACTCCGAAAGCTTCAGACATATTTTCAAGACAGTTTCTCGTAGAACCGGTCTCAGCCTCAGGAGGCTCAGGTGGCGGTCATTGATCTTGGGGTTTTCGAAAGTCTTTGGAATCAGACAAAGCTGGCCTTTTCCACATCAAAAGAATCTGCTTTCAGCTGCTGCTGTCGCCGGCGACGCGAGATTGGGTCTTCCTGGCAACACCTGCTTTTGGGGGTTAGGGCTTGCCACCCGACATTGTTCTGTTGAGAGGCATCCCAACACATGGCTTCTCAAAACTTTAGAGGTGCCCTCTGCAAGCATCTGCTTTTTCGTTTCATTCTTTGACAGCCAACATCTCCTTTCAGGGAGAGGGTTGGCCCAAACATCTCCTTTAAAGCTGTGGGTCTCCAACGCCTCCATTTAGGGTTCGATGCCTTTCTTGCAGCCTATTGGGTACAGGCCTCAGCCGCCGAGACGCAAAAAGTCACAAGCAAACACAAAGTTACATCTAAGCAAGAAGAGTTACAACTAACCCAGCTATCCTATTTTCTTCATGACCAGCGTGACAGACTCAAGAACGATGAAGCTTGAACCAGTAAGTCTGCTCAGTGTTTTCGCTCTAGGACACATCCCAATGCCAGGTGGCCACGTCACGTAGTGCCTCTTGATGAAGGCGCTGTCGTCGGGCAATGACCGACGTCCCCGCCATGTCCTTCAGGGTGTCTCAAGCCATGTCCTTCATATAGCTGCCCCATGTGTAGACAAGGTGAATGGATACTGACGCGAACTGCTTTACACCGGGCGTGATCGCGATTCGTGTCCAGATGTGACATCCGCAGCAGGGCTTCCACAGCGATCTCCCCGCTATTCACCTCGCTGCGAGGCTTGTGGATCATGCTTGGCTTTGAGACATTGTTCGGCTTGCCTTTATTAAACCAATGCCCTCATGCGTCTCTGCTTCTCAGCCGTAAACTCTCCAACCTTGAGAACTTGCTTCAGTCCTGGTAGCCTTGTGCACTAGCGCTGCGTTGTGGCGAAGGTTGTACACCTTAGATGCAAGAGCCCAAGCTCCCAAGCTAAGCACCAAATTGGCATGGGGATGCGGGAGGCGGCATACGGGGAATGCACCTTCTCGCAATTGGTTCTGTAGATGCCGTGGCCTGCTGTCTCTAGTCTCTCGCTCTGCTTCTGCTGTGGCGCATAGTGTTAATTCGCATGATGTCACCCATCTTGGAAACCTTGCCGAGGCCTTGCAGAGGAGGGGGCTGTCGCCATCGGGTACAAGCCCGCGGTTTAGTTAGTTCCAGATGTCGTGAGATGCTTGAGACAAGACGCGGGAAGAGTTCACGAAATTTACGAAAATGCCCAATACAAAAACATATGTATATATATATATATATATATATATATATAGATATTTGCATTCATAAGTGTATAATATAATATAATATAATATAATATAATATAATATAATATAATAGAATATAATATAATATAATATAAAACATACTCATTATATACAATACATGTGTCTATCTATTACTCTATCTATCTGCACCGTTGAAGCTCGAGAACCCCGATGCCTCACGACCCATCTATGACGAGTCGCGACAGAGCGCAGTGCAGGCCGGGCCATGGCACCTCCAGGGGATCTGCTCAGAAAACATTCGCGGGGTAAGGCTGGTAAGGCTAAGGCATGTCTCGGAGCGTCGGAGGTCCGCGAACACAGACATCTTGTCTGGTCTTTAGAACTTCTCAAGGCTCATGCTTCAATTCCACGGCCCCCAGGCTGTGCTGTGACAAGCAGACCTCGTCGGCACTTCTTCGGCCTCTCTGCTCACCTCGGCGTGCTGCCCGGGCAAGGCGCTCGGCGAGGGCAGGCAGCAGTCCTGCCTTGTCTCAAGTTTCCATGTTCTTCTTTCTCACTTGTATACCACTGGCTTACACTCGGGCTTCATCCGGCGGTTGGGCGGTTGGGGGGTCACGGATCAACGCCATCTTTTGAATTGTTGAGGTCCTGCAGTGTGCCGGGCCTGTACAAGCCAAGCCATGCCAAATTTAACATCCACTTCTGAGTCATTTCACTGTCCTGCGCCATCAGTGAAGCAAGGCCTTCGGCATCCGCATTGTTGGACCTGAAAGAGCTGGATGCTTCAGAGGCCTTCAGATTTTGAAGCTTAGCATTCGAATATGTTCGAATGGAACTTGAACTGCGAGCTTTTCAAGAATTGCGGGCCCAGCGGCTCAACAAGTCGCTCGCCCTGTCTCTCCTACAAAAGAGGTGGGCTTCTCAGAACCGATCATGTTGCGCAGGGCAGTCTGACTCAATGACGGGTTTTGCTGGACAGCTCCGGTGCCGAATCATTGTCTTCGGCAACCCTGGCCTGCAGACCCAGTGGTGTCTCGCCAACGCCCCGTTGTTGGATTTCCTGACGGACACGTTCGATCACGTTCGTACAGTCTTGGAGGGGCTACATGAGACGCATTGCAAACGAGACGTAGAGTATTCCTTCAGCTGGAGTCTTCGAGTATAGAACCAAGTGAATACTGCAACTGCACTCCTTGAAGAGTTGGGCATCTGCAAACCCAGACCTATCCCTACCCGCTTAAGGGAGGGGGAGGGGGAGGCAGAAAATGTCGGTCGCATTTTCCGCTTCCCAACATAGTATGTCCCACCCTAAATGCAGAATTCCGGGTTTTGGGGTGGTTGGAATGGCTATCTTTTTCGGGACACGATTGTGAAATCAGGTATCCACGCCATCCAGCAAAATCATTATCAATCAACGAGGTGGTTCAAGACCCTGTCTTTTAGGATCCGTTAGGTTACTCTACTGGCCTCGAGACCCGCCAAACGGCACAAACCGCTCCCGACAGTGCCTCTCGACGTTGCCGAAAAAGAGCCTGGAGACAGCACGGTGGCATCTGAAGCACAGCTTTCACCAAAAGAGCCAATACATACGTCCTCTTGAAATGAGCCCTTTAAAACCTTACCAAGTCAGCGCTTAAAGACTCCGAGCCTTCAGCGTCGACCGAGGCTCCGCCCTCCTAGGCTGGGGAGATGGAGCCCGAGCCCGCTGGGGCACCAGAAGGGGCGCCACCTGCAAAAACACAACAAAACACGAAACAAAGCTGTCACCAAACCACCCCCCATGGAAGCAGCGGTAACTCGACAGCTTCAAGTGTCCCTTGGCATTAGCCTTTCATGACACCCGTCTCGAATCGAGTCGCTGGAGGTAGGTCGCGGGGACGGTAGACGTGTCGTAACACTGCATCCAAGCTTGGTTGCCCACGCAGCCTGCATGCTCGGCAGTCAAGCTTGCATTCTGCTACTTCTTGACTAGTTTAGCATCCTGAACCATAGCTAAAAGCCACTTGAATCACCATCGTGACACGAGCCTCTTCTTCGGGGCCTCAAGCACCTCACAGTCGCTGTCGGAGTCGAGCTCGATGGCCATTGCGGAACACTCGCTTTGAAGTTCAGATCAGGTTTCAAGCGGTTTAAGTGTCCAAGCCTTTCAGCTTCAACCTCAACTGCCGTCATGAAATCAACCGGCCTGTGGCAAGTGGATGGTGCCGACTGCGGGCTCACATGCACAAGCAAAAGCATGCACGATGCGTTGATCAGAAAATACCGCCTGCATGTGATCTTACTCGGAGAACGGGAGGCTTATGGAGGCCTCCTACGCTTCCCATGCTCCACATCAAAGCCAACGTCAACGGGTAAGCCCTCAAAGCTGCCTCTTCCCAGAGATCTTCATCACTGCTGTCCGGCTCCTGTGCAATGGCCGAGTGAAAAGGGTGGAGTTTTTTTTTGGGTCTTTTGTTTTTTTGGGGGGGGGGCCTTTTTTTTTTTTTGTTTGGTCGATTTTCTTGGTTTTCTCTAGGAAAAACCCTACTTTCCTTACATTTTGGACGGATTTTCTGTCATTTCCCTTAGGTTTTCGTTGGTTTTTCATAGGGAATGGTACAGCTTAAAAGAAGCGGGGGGGTTGGGGGGGGCGCAGCCCCCCCCATTTGCAATGCTCACACGATGTTTTTCAACTAGTTTCTTGGGTTGGGAAGCACGCTTGGTACGGCTTAAAAGAAGCAGGGGGGGTTGGGGGGGGGCGCAGCCACCCCCCATTTGCAAACACCCTGCTCACATGATGGGTGTCAACAAGTTTCTTGGGCTTTGAAGCGCGCTCTGCACGGCTTAAAAAAAAAGCGGGGGGGTTGGGGGGGGCGCAGCCCCCCCCCATTTGCAAACACAATGCTCACACGATGCTTTTCAACTAGTTTCTTGGGCTTTGAAGCACGCTTGGTACGGCTTAAAAGAAGCAAGGGGGGGGTTGGGGGGAAACACCCTGCTCACATGATGGGTTTCAACTAGTTTCTTGGGCTTCGGCTGAAAAAAAGCGGGGGGGTTGGGGGGGGCGCAGCCCCCCCCATTTGCAAACACAATGCTCACACGATAATTTTCAACTAGTTTCTTGGGCTTTGAACGGCTTAAAAGAAGCGGGGGGGTTGGGGGGGGCGCAGCCCCCCCCCATTTGC